ATTATACCTAGAGGCTGTCGAACCCATTACATCGCAGGACTCTCTGAAGAGGCAAAGCCACTGCTAGAACGATACCAAGGTCTCTTTGACAATGATCCCTTTGCTGAGGACACACTTCTAGCAGGTGAAGAGCTTATGTCAGTCATTGCCGAAAATCGCAAAACTAAGTGGTGTGATCTTGTGGAGAGTTTAGATATGCAGGGGAACAGCACCCGATCTACTTAGTTTGCCCGTCAGACCCAACATCACTGCCAGGCCATCAGGGTTTCCCAAAAGGAGGCAGGTATAGAAGTGGAACCCACCCGGATGAACCTATCCACCAGAGGTGGCGACACCCTTGACTCAATTGAGGTTCCGGGAAGAACCCCCCACACTCAAGATAACCATACCGTCCGTGATCAGAGACAGGGATTGGTTTGCATAAGTGCCTACAAACCTAGCCAACAGCTGATCGGGGATTCGGTCTAGTTATCGTCTGTTATCGTCAATCAACAAACACCAGTTTTAGGTTATGTCGCCGTTGTCCGTGATAAATACTTGTAAAATCGGTCGGTTTAACTTTGTACGGTGAAAAAGAGTGCCATTATGAATAAATATGTAGTTGTGGGTGTGTTTGTGTACTTCACTGTTATTAAAAGTAGGCCTACGTTCTTTGGCCCATAGCCCAAGCTATGGCCAACACATAGGCCTAGGAGTAGGATGTTGTGGATAAAAATCGGGTAAGTTATGGTGTTTGTTGACTATCAATACGTTTTTTTACCCCCCTCAAAATTTGGTACCTCACAGTGCAGACGTGACATCCGAGTTGAAAACACTTCATTAGACACATACATCAACATTGAATGGTAAAACTGTCTATTTAAGACTTTCGCACTGCCCTAGATGCCGGACTAATAGGCGTTTTTGCGCCAAAATAGGTGTTTTTATGAGATTTATATAGTTTCTTAACGTATTCTTTTGAGTAAAACATATTAAATTTGGTAATTTTGTAAAGCTGTTTAAATGTTCTACAATTTTTTTTTATTGGTGGTTTTTGATATATTGTATCAATAAAAGGTTAAAAACAAAAATAACACAAAAATATTAAAAAAAAATACAGGTTTTTGCAAAATTACGAAAAATGTACTAAACATACAACAAATGTGTAAATGTAAAAGAGATAGCATTCAAACTTATCTTTCAAACAAAAAAAAGTTCATTCCGATCCAACAAATAATTTGCGAAATATATGCTTTAAAAAAATCAACGGCCGCCATTATGATGTCGTCATAGCCGGAAAACGTGGGGGGTAGGAGGTAAACACCCAGGTTTTTTAAACTCCCTAGACATCAAACTAAAACGTTATGCAAGAATATTGAGTATACGCAAGTTTGCACACTAAAGTATAGCTAGCTGCTGGACTAATGGGTTTTTTTTATGGGAAATTAACAGAATTTACAATAACTCTTGAACCATAATCTTTACAGCAATGTGGGGAGGGTTGCACTATGTTGTTAAGAATAAGGACCATCACATACTAATTTAAATCAAAACCGGCTTTTTTTAAATATGATATTCTCTTATTTTGTGGGTTTTTATGGGAAAATAACATAATTTACAATAACTTTGAATCAAAGAATGTGACTAGTATGAAAAGTAATGTAGCAGAACACATGCTTAATGAGAATCATAAATTCACTAAAGTAGAAACAGATATGACAGTTTTGGACTATGGATCAAAAGGAAATAAATTAGATACAAAAGAAGAATATCATATATACTGCAGCTACAAGAATGATCCAACAAATATAATCAATACGATGCAAGTTAAGAAACAAAATCCTATATATGAAAAAATTTTAAAATTAAAGAATATTTAACACAAACATCAAGAGGAGGATAAATTAAACAACCATAATAAAATTTTATATATATATATGACAAAATTCCATGACCAAAGATTATTTTACTATACATTTTAAGAAAAAAGAAAATCATATGTAAAGATCATCACATGATGTTTATTTGTTAATTAATTTGTTTGTGTTTGAAGTGAGGTTAAATGTTACTCTTTGTAAAGGTATTTACTCAGGGGAGGTATAGAAGAGGCTATGATGACAGCTGTGGGCTTCTTATTAGCTGAGGGAACGCCATTACCATAACAAAACGATCAGTAGTCATCGGCCTCGGTGGTCTAATGGTTAGCGTGCCGGGCTGATATGCTGAAGGTCCCGGGTTCAAATCCCGCTCGTGGCATTAACTTTTTGTCCAAGATTTTTTTTATTATCAGCAAGTTTGGTTGGTTTGGTTTTGGGTATGACAGTTTAATTTTATTATTAAGTCATTAGGTATAAAATTTTAGTAGAGCAATTTCTAGTTTTATTATTTTTATAACAGAATTATTTTTTCTATTAATAAACTTTTGTTATATTATTTCATTAACAGCAAGTTTGGTTAGTTCGGTTAGGTTATGATGGTTTAATTTTATAATTAAAAAATAATAAAATTGAATTTGAGGCATTTATAATTTTATTTTATGAACAGAACTATTTTTGCGATTAGTAAACCTTCTTTGCCAAAGTACTCTCTACTACAGCGCTGTTCACGGAGGAATTTTGAACTAATGCCTCATTCGTACCTCCCCTAAGTCAGACCCCTTTGTAAATGGCCTAAAGGTCGAAACATGTAGAGTTTTAAAAATAAAAATAATTTCAGGGTACTGAGTTAATATGCTTTCTTCATCCTACTAATATTATAAATGAGAAAGTTTAGATGTATGGATGTATGGATGTATGGATGTATGTTTGTGACAAGTGAACGCGAAAAATACTGGTCGGATTGGGCTGAAATTTGGCATGATGATAGCTCACATTCCCGATTAACATATAGGCATATTCTTATTTCAAAAATCCTTTCGGGCTCCGCCCCAGTGGCTCTGGAGTTTCCCATGTTAACCTTATGAGAAATGAAATTATTGAATCTTAACAGCTGTTTCAATTAAACAAGTTGGTTCTGTTCTGTGATGTTCAATAGCATTAAAGTTACAAAAATTACTAACAGGGTGCAGCACTATTATTTCTTTTACATTTATGACAACAGCTAATTTGCAACCAAAAGGTGAGTGAGCGTAGCGAACGAACTTCAACCTGGAGGCGAGTTAGCGTAGCGAACGAGCTAACCTGAAGGCAAGTGAGCGCAGCGAACGAGCTCAAACTAAAGGTGAGTGAGCGTAGCGAACAAGCTCCAACCTAAAGGTGAGTGAGCGTAGCGAACGAGCTCCAACCTAAAGGTGAGTGAGCGTAGCGAACAAACTTCAACCAGGACGTGATTGAGCCATGCGAACGAGATAATCTTGAAAATTAAGAAGTTAAACGGGGCAAAGCCCGCGGGTTACAGCTAGTTATATATATATATATATGTGTGTGTCCGTCAGCACGATAACTCGAGCAAAAATGATCCGATTTTGATGAAATTTGGTACAAACGTGTAAACGTACGTTTATTCGAACGAGTTCGCGATCCAGCATGATCGGACCATGGGAACGGGGGTTTACGGGGGGTTTTATGGGGTAAAAATAGGTTTTTCCCATTTTTGACCCAAAAAACATAAAATTTAGCAATTTCTTTCCAAACCATCTTGTAGAGCTTAAAAAACGAATAATTTAGTATATTGAAGCGTTATTATGCGCCTAATGGTTACGGAGAAAATTCAAAAAAATTGTAAATTTAAAATTCCCATGTTATTCTTATGGAGAATAAGTAAACTGTTGTAGTTTGCTTGTTTGTGAACATATTTTGATCAAATTTGGAAAATATTTTCATTTCTTACTAACTATTCACATTTAACAAAAAAAAACAAAAAACAAAAAAACAGTTTTACCCTCCCTGATGCAGCAAACCTAAGTACTTGTTAAACTAATTCTATTTAAATCAAGAATAAATGTTATATTTTTAAGTAGACATTTCAGTGTGAATCCAATCAGTCAAATGGAAATTCGCTTAGTCTGCAGGTTTGCTGCGGCGGGGGTATTATTTTGTTATTTTATGGGTTTTTATGGGAAATCACCATTAAAAATTAAAATTTCTAAAAATGGAAAAACGCCTGGAGATATCATGGATTAGTACCTACATATCAAATTGGATTAGTACCTACATATCAAATTTTATTAAAATCGGACCACAGGTGTAGTCTGTAGCTCTGTACACATCCGCACATACAGACACAGACACACACACACACACACACACACACACAGAGAAGTAAAAAGGTGGAAGTCGTTTTGAGAGGTTATCTTTACATACTTTTTGTTTTGTGATTTTGTTTGCTCAAATATTCAATAACACAAAAAATATAGGTAGTTCTTCACATGGGCAAAAAGTTTCTTTTCAACTTTTTGCTCATTTTCAGTGAAACTGGAGCTTGAGATGAGAAGAAGTCATTTTACGCCCTAGTGGTAAATTATAACTATTATACATCCAACAACTCATACAAATGTAATAGCCATCATACAATAATTATTAATAACATTTGACATGATAAAGTATGTTTGAAATTACATGATTGATCAAAGGAACTACTAGTCTTGATTCAAGTACTTTTAAACACTTGAATAATTACTCAACCCTCCAACATGATAGGAGTGGAATGTCTTCAATCTAAAGTTGAAGATTCAACTGATTCCAAAAGTTAAGGGAAACAAGTAAAGTCAGCAGTACAAATAAAATTTTTTCGGCACATACATTGTTACTGTAAAAATAACATCATCTGTGGTTAGACAGTGATCCTGTTAAAGTAGCTTATAAAAGGAACTTTCATTAAAGGGTATCAATCAAGGGGGGTATGCAATGTTATCAGTGCATTCAACGTTTAACCAGCAACAGCATGTATTTGTTTCAATATTGTTTTATTGCGTTGTTACACTTAAGCTCTGGAGCGTCAGAACTACCACTACCGTAAAGTAGGTACTCCTTCAGGTATGAGCTTCTTTCCACTACAACTAAAACTTAACACAAGAAACACACCTAACAATTGTCTCGGTGATGTCCGACCTGGTGTTGAACTGGTTATGAAGGTCGGTCAACAGCTCCAAGTCAGGTCCCGCCCACACACCACCTCGCTGTTAAACAATAATGCTCATTACTAGGGCAAATAAATTCAGGGCAAATAAATTCAATGTTGTATTCTAGCAACTAGCTTATAAGAAATGTTATCCCCTGTGCATTTTTTTGGGTTAGAATAGGACCGCAGCCTTCTGAGGCTTGTCGTAAGAGGTGACTAAAAGGGTGACTGACTCTGTCACTGGGTATTGTAGTGACAGCTGGTTTATTAATTGTATTTAATTGGTCAACACATGTTTGGAATCTATTGTTTGCGGGAACTCCTTCAATAAAATTTCCCATCGATGTTGACCATATGTGTTGAAATTTGTTCCAACCACTAGTATATATTAGGCTACATCAGGTTAGACACCCACACTTTTTACCCCGTAATCAAAACATGTAGCTCTTTTACGTTGTGTCTTCTGTTGTAGTTTTGTGTTTTCGTTCGCTGAACTGTCCATTGCTTTCCAAGTCTGGCCACTTAGGCTTCAATGATTCGTCTGAAATAGGAACAGTGATCCTGGTTTTCCTATAAAAAAGGAGCTCAGCAGACTGTAACCGCAGCTTAGTGGAGTAGAACGATATGCTAATAAGTCCTCATAAGGATCTTGATTTTCCTTCAGAATGTTTTTAGCAATTTAACTGCACGCTCAGCCTGTCCATTGCTTTAAAAGTTTAGCAAGGTCTTTGTTCTCTTTGAAGAAATCTTGTTCATTCATAAAATAGGTTTTTACGAACTAAGAAATAGTCATTATATTTGTTTTTCACCTGTTCATAAGTCTTCCTTTTATCAGGAGTCCAAGAGATGTGAGTTATAAATCAGCTTCACTTCCTAGACCTGTTGGTTCTCCTCTTTCTTTGATAATCCCGATGCTGAGCGATAAACTTCAATTCCTTGTATCCATTGAGACCATTTTGAAGGTTCCTGGGTATCAAAAGGCTCTGGTGGCTCTAAATGAACATTACTCACAGGTGGAGATGGCTTCTGTTTTGTCAATTTATTAATTTCCGACAATTCTGACATTATGGTACTAAACCGCTGCCACCACATGAAGCGAGAAAATAAATGGAAATAAAATTAGAGAAGGGAGGGTGTATTGACAGCTGGTTTATTAATTGTATTTAGTTTGTCAACACATGTTATGATTATTGTTTGTTGTTATTATTTTAGTTTACATGGTAACTTAAATAAAGGTTGTAAACTTTTATTGTAAAATATTATTTGGAACTACTACAAAGTATCCCTGGGAGTGCCCTTGTTGTATTGCAGGGGTTGATTTAATCTATACTGCCGATAGGCATTCTCAGTGGGTCATGACGAGCCCGCCACTTCAGTCCTTGGTCAGGAAGTGCAGCATGGATGCAAAAATCAGGCTCTGCTTTGCGACTGGCGACCCCGCCACGTCAAGTATCCGGTGCTGAGCAAACAGAGGTTGGACCTCGGGGAATCGGGGTAGAGGTTTTTGTTTCCTGAGGCTATAATTTTTCCTGACTGTTTCCGGGCCGTCCCTAATTCTAATTCCTCAAAATCTTGCTCCCAGTGGTTATAATTTAAACATAATGGCAGGAAACAAATTGAGTTTTGTGCATTAATGAAACTCGCCTTTACAATATTATAATTATGAACCTTATTAACTTCTAAACATTCAATAAATTTGGACTTTTTATTGATAGCGATGATTTCCCCTCCACTATATCTCTTATAAATGAGAATGTAGGTTACATCCGTATCTTCTGGTATATGGGCTATGATTGACTTCCCGTCTCTACCCAGGGGATGGGCTCTATTAACCCACACTCTGTCTATTCCTAACATCTACTTGCAGAAGTTTCTTACCACCTCCCTAATATCTTTGCTGATAGTTGTAATACGGACTGTGGTGATAAAAAATACTCATGTCACCTACTTTTCAGGTGGTCGAGAACTTGGGAGGAGGGGGATAAAGATGGCGGAACGCGCTATGCATTGAAACGACTATATCTCGATAACGGTACGAGATGGGACACCGGTCAAAACGTTGTTTTAATAAAAATAATATGGCCAATAGAAAAGGTTATTAGGTACAAAGTTGTATCTTGAGTAATAAAAAAGTTATAACAAAAATATGTGTCACAAAATCTACAATATTGTCGTGGCCTGGTGTATGCATGCATATTTTGTTGACTTTGATGATTGAAAAATGTAGCTTCATTTTAAAATATTTATTTTACAATACATTATGTATTGTGTACAGTGATTGATACAAAATGTATAATGTTGTTGATGACTTATTTAACACTCTAATTATAAATAATAACATATGATAGATTTTGACTTATTGCCAACATAGAACATTGTATAATTATTAAACATGTGGTTGATATACTATAATTCTCCCACGCTTATTAGAAAAGATCATTTGTTTTGAAACTGGCAATATCTATACTTATAAAAGGCAAAGCCCTCACTGACTCACTGACACACTCATCACTAATTCTCCCACTTCCCATTTACCTAGGAGGCTGAAATTTGGTACACCGATTCTTTAGGCATTAAATAGGAAAACTAAGTTGTTTTTATTCTGATCGGACTCTCGGACTCCGCCCCAGTGGCTCTGGATTTTCCCATGTTAACCTTATGATTTTTCATATTTAAAAGGAATTAATGAATCTTATCAGCTGTTTCAATCAAACAAGATGGTTTTGTTCTATGATGTTCAATAGCATTAAAGTTACAAGGATTACCAACAGGGTGCAGCACTATTATTTTTTTTAAATTTATGACAACAGCTAATTTGCAACCAAAAGGTGAGTGAGCGTAGCGAACGAACTTCAACCTGAAGGCGAGTTAGCGTAGCGAACGAGCTTACCTGAAGGCAAGTGAGCGCAGCGAACGAGCTCCAACCTAAAGGTGAGTGAGCGTAGCGAACGAACTTCAACCAGGACGTGATTGAGCCATGCGAACGAGCTCATCTTGAAAATTAAGAAGTTAAACGGGGCAAGGCCCGCGGGTACAGCTAGTTGAAGAATAAAATTAAGACTTCTTTGTTTGAAGTTCATTGTTGGTGATGGTGAGTTAATGTTGTTCAAAGGTTTATTGTGGACATTTTCCATCACGAATGTAAAAAACAATACACAACGTTTCGGGATCTGGAATCTGATCCCGTCTTCAGGTGAAAAAAACTTAACTAACACATTACAACTAACAATACACAAACGCCCAACCTAAGTTGGAAACATTACAGAGGGTAGTAGTCAAAAAATATGCACTGTATAGCAGTCAAGTTATGATACAACATGCAATTAATAAACTTGATTTACTTTTGCAAAATTAAGACGTAACAAAGTCTTTCAAATATGGCTTTCAGGCTGGCGATATATTCTGTTGGATCTGCGCAGCACTGGACTTTAATTTCCTCTCTCATGTTGAGGTTGTTCATTGATTCGTGGGATGGTGATGAGGTCTTCAAATGGATGATGTGGTCTTGGTTCTTCTAAAGTGGCTTCTTGCACTGTGGGAGCAAATTTGATAGACTTTTTTTTTGACATTTCCGTTTGTCGTAGTAGGTTGATGTGTCTCTTGAATACATATCCACTGTCGAGTCTAATTAGGTAGTGTAAGAGTCCGTACTTATTAATAGTGGTTCCTGGTTTCCACAGATTTTTGTTGTTTGAGCAGTACCGTGCTTGGACTCGGTCTCCAACTTTGTACTGTCTTGCTTTGGTGTGTATGGTGTATGGTGAGGATTTTTGATGATTGTCTATTTCAGATAGCTTGATTTGTAGATTGCGAATCCACTGACGTTCTAAGATAGATGGGCAGTTGTCTGGTACAGTGTAGATTTCACCTTTGGAGATGTTAGATTTGTATTTTATATTGACCTCTACCATAGGTTTGAATACATCTTTTGTGTAAGATCTAAAAAGTAAGCCAGTTGGTTGGATTGAAAGATTTAGGTGTAATTGATTGAACTTGTCTATGGGAAGAAATGTATACCCTGAACCGGAGTCTACTTCAAATTCCACAGGTTTGTTTTCAATATTCACAACTGTAAGAATCGGTGGTGAGGCTTCGGTTTGAAATATGTCTACTATGTTTTGAATACCATACTGGTGGTCACTTGTGTCGTTTATCTAGTTAGTTGAGTGTGAGCTATTCTTGGACCTATTGTTCAAAAGTGTGCTGATGCAAACTTTACCTACATGTCCTAGTCTTGAGCATTCAGAACATTTTAGTTTGCTTTTGTCCGTTCGGCATTCTTTAGATAAATGATTAGATTTGCCGCATCACAAACATAACCCGTTGATTCCCAATTCATCAAAGTTTGGAGTTTGTTTGGGCTTCGATTTGGACCTGCTGGAGACATTGTTTTGAGAAGGGGAACGGTCATGCTGTCTAGATGTATTAGAAACCTTATTGATATCTGGTAGGTCTGATGTCGACGTAGGAAGATGTTTAAGGGAAATTAGTTTAGAGTCAAGTCTGGAAGCTTCTGCCTTCGATACAATTTCCTTGAACTCTGTTATATCAGATTGTTAAAGATGTTCACGAATAGAGTTGTCCTTGATGCCGCGAATGAACTGAGTGCGAAGGAAGATATTTGCTATGAATGATTTTTTTAGTATATTGAAACATAATTAACAAAACCAAATTTATTGAACTCACAAATCAGACTAAACTAAAAAGTAAACAAAACATAATAATATAAACAGTCATCTGACAGATGTTATAAATAAAACATATGTAGCCTACTTATTTCTTGATACGTAACACTCCTCCCCCCGTCAGGTAGTCCTTGAGATATGCCGGTGGTCGACGGATCCGAACAGGTCGAGGACTCATGCTCATTGAAGTGTTTTGGGAGTTTGATTTAGAGACACATGACCGAACAGGTTGTGGACTCGTGCTTATGCTAGTGGAGTCTTGAATTAAATCAGAAACGTTGAAACCAGCATCTTCTTGATGAGGGTTAATTGATCCTTCTATACTACTAAAGGAATTACGAGATTGTTGCATCACTGATGGTCGCATTGGTTG